ACTGGCCCTGCGCCAGAGAGGAACCTGTGGCCACTCCCTTGTCAGCCACCATGCCCACTGTGGACTAGGATGAAGTGGAAGGTGCCTTTCACGTCTCCACAGGGTTTTGCAGAAACTCCTTGGAGATCCCTGGCTTCTAGGCTCACCCGAGTTAGTTGCCCTGCTGCTCCAGATAGGGGGAGGACTGGAGGAGATGTCCTCAGCCTCCACCCCCCCGGCGACACGCGGCTTTGCTTACTTTGCACCGGCGGCAGCAACAAGCCCTGATGAGGCCACTGCTGCCCCACAAGTGCCCGGCCATCATCCAGATGGCGTCACCCTGACAGCTTCTGCCTACTCACATGAGGCCATCGCCCAGATGGCTTTTGTCTGTTTGCCTGTGGCCATCACCCAGACAGCTTCTGCCTGTTTGCCCACGGCCATAGCCCAGACGGTGCCTGCCCAGCCCGCGGCTATAGCTCAGTCTGGTCAGCCTTCCGCAGTCACTTTGTTGGCCCCTGACAGTTCCCAGCTGCTCGCTTGAGGCCATCGCCACCCAGACAGCTCTCATCTGCTCGCTTGCAACCATCTCAAAGGCTCCCATCTGCTTTCCTGCAGCCATTTTGCCGGCTTCCACCTGCTTGCCTGTGGCCAGTGTTTCATCAGGTTCAGACCCACCTGCTGCAGGCACCTCAATGTCAGAACCCACCTTGCCCTCTGCCGTCCACTCAGCCCCTGTCGGGGACCCCAAATCTGGGTCGGCACCTCCTCTCCACGGCCCCTGTCACCTTTTCCAGGACCCTCTAGGAGGAGGTCATTGAGGGAGGGGTACTTCGAGGTGCTGCAAGAGAGACCTGCTTCACCACCTGGCCCCTCGCCAGTGTACAGCTCGCCTCAGCTGGACTCCACACTTGTGCCTGCCTCAAAGGTTCTAGTGGCTGTTCAGACCCTCACCTTGCCGTCATTGCCTGGTGGCCACCACTGGCACAACACCTGATTTCCTGGAAGCTACTAGCCTCGCACCTGATTCCCCAAGCATGTAGATCCCAGACCTGGAGTGGGATCCTCTGGGCATTGCCCTGAGTCCTGCTTTGGGGATCCCTGATGAGAGCCCTAGCTACATCAAGCCTGGGCTTTGAAGGGGTCACTGGTCTTGACGGACAGCCAAAAGAGAAGCAGACAGAGTCTCTGTCTCCTGAAGAGCGAGCCCTGCAGGCCCTCCTGTGCCTTCCTGCCCTGCAAGCCCCTCAGGGCCCTCAGGTTCCAGTACTTGTCCCAGTCTCAGTTCTTGCCCTACAGGTCCCTTTGTATCCACCAGCTTCTGCCGTGGTTCCTGCCCTGATTCCTGCTCTGGTTCCTGCCCTGATTCCTACCCTGGTTCCTGTCCTGCAAGTCCCTCAGCACCCCCTGGTCATAGCTTAGTGGTTCCCGCAACACCACCCAGCCCCACAGACCCCCTTGCACCACCTGGTCCTACTGGTCCTCCAATGCCCAGGAGATTAGCTGAGTTCATGTGTCTTGTCCCCTGCTGTCACTCATCTGGTGTCCTGTACTGGTGGGTGTTGTGTGTGTCACCCCCTTCATTGTCCCTGGCCCTGCCAGGTTTGTTTGGTTCCCCTGTGATGTCTACCATCATCCCTTTGACAGTGTATCATGGTTCAGTCTACCTGATCCGTTTCCTGGTTCTGTTTTGTCATCCCAGGTCTTTGGTCCCAATAATCTGCCCTTCTGGTGTTCAACCCTGTCTTGTTTTCCTGGTCCTGCCCCATGTCCAGGGCCCATGTGTTTGTCATCTTGTCTGGTCCCCTAGGTTCACTCCCTGGCTTGTCTTGCACACTCGGAGGGCATGCCTTTGGGGATGGGTACTGTCACATCCAGCCCACTCTACCTGTCTGATCCCCTCATTTCCCTTCCCTGAACTAGCAACACCTTGGGCTTGTTAGTCTTACCTCTTGTTCCTGCCTTCTGTTGGATCCCTTCTTAGTCAGATATATTAGTGTCTCCCAGCCTCGTGCTCCTTGTTTGCTCATTGTTGCATGTCAACTTTTGTGAACCTTCCCTCTTTACCCTAATAAACACCCCATACATGGGTTCTGTTTGGAATACTTGCCTGCATTTGGGTCGTACCCTGTTTTGACATTGTGGCACAATTACCCTGATCAAAATCCTGTGGACAACTTTTTGTATACATGGACTCATGATGCTACAGTTCAAATTTGTGTGAATCAGTGAACAGTAGGATGAGTTCAAAAAAGTAGATATTACACATTTTGCAAATTACCTAAAGATCTAAGAGGCTGATGATCTTATAAGTAAATATGACTGCCTGAAGACAAGGGATGTGAAGAAACAAGAATATACTTTTTATGACCCATAGTTCTGAAAATATAGGCCAAAATGTAAAACACAGAACTATAGCACCACCTTTAGACTGACCGGTGCCTTTTTGCAGCCCTGAACAGTGGAGGAACTGTTGCACCATGGCACTGAATTTCATAATTCTTGGTTATATACAAGAGTAATTATGGCCTGCTGAATTGTGATTGGCAGTGAGTAGCCACACTTTTATTAAAAGATTAATTGGGACATCTGGCCATGAATGTATCTTGTATGGACTTTGGCAATATAGTGTGTGTGTGTCTGTGCACTCGCATAGGTCACATTTAAGGACATTTTCCTGAGTACACACCAGTTAACTGGGGACCTCTTAGCAAATGGGGACCAAAAACCACGTCCTCATTTGTTTAGCTATACTATCATGTGCAGTATGCGAAAAAACATCACTGGCCAAAAAATTTCACGTCCCGAAAAATGAGAAAAACCGCATTTGTGTACCAAAAGTGTGTGTGCCTCCCCCCCAGAGTGTGGAAAACGCAGCGCCCCAACAGGAATTCATGTGAACTGCACTTCCTTATTCTACGCACACATTTTGATCAGGTGATCCAAACAAACCAATAAAAATCTACTTTTTTGATTGGATGATCTAAACCAATGAAATTTTACTTTTGTACTGCAGGAAGCTTTAGGCTAATATTTAGCATAACGTAAATATATATATTTACACATTGCTAGCATGCCATGGTAATGTTATTTCTATCACGCAGTACATCAATAAATAAAACAGTTTAATATAACTGTAGCATGCCAACCATAAACATTCTGATACAGTACAAAAATAAGGAACAGTATTAGCAAATTTACCTACGCCGATTTATACTTACTTGTAATGTTAGCAATCACTACCATGTAGTCTTCTTAGCAAACCACATTCAGATACAACAGAAAATTAAAAGCAACATATAGCAAATATGACTCTAATAATTCCATGTAACAGGTCACTACGCATACATAGTAAGTATGCGTGGCAAATATTGTCATAGTGAAAAATAAGGAGCACTATAACAAATACGACTATGCTAATTCCACACAGGTTGCTAGCAGCGATAGCATGTAGCGTGCTTAGCAAACCACATTCTGATATATTATAAAATCAGGAGCAATATATGGTTAATATTACTATGCTAATTCCATGTATCAATTAAGCCACTTTATACTACGGGACCGTTGAATGCTTGAATCTGATTGGCTGACGAACGTTCTGAGGTGTGCAATTATTTTCAGGGAAACGCACGGCGAAAGTAGTTCCAGGCAGCTCTCTTGACCGTATTACAGTTCCATATCACTTCGCATAGTTAACTTTAATAACGGAAATTAGCATACAGTACCTATACAGCACACAGGACTAACAAAAACAACAACATGACAGACGATTTTCCGAAAGTAAATTTTAATATTTACGGTGAATATGAAACTTTCAACAACTGGGCTGCAGCAGTATTAGACAGTCCAGATGAAAAACAACATAAACAGAAGCGGACATCAAAGGCAGCCAGCAACAACAAAAGACTCCGCTTCGCGTCGTGGCCGCATCACCACCTCGGGTGTGCATTATTTTTCTAATAGTTCAACGGCCCGTCATCAATTATTCCTTACATATATATCGCTAGCTTAGTACGCTAGCAGGTACTAAGTACTAAACATTCTGAAAGCAAAGTAAATTTTTATAATATATTATAAACATTTTGCTTTCAGAATATATATATATATATAGATGGATTAATATCAAATATAATTAAACTACCTGTTTTCAGTGGAAGTCCTATAGTTTTAAATAGTTCTTTCGGCCGAAATATAATATGTACAAGAACAAGTGCGGAGGAATATTCATGTCAAACTGCGCAGTTAACAAGTGGATTAAGTGGATTTTGCGGCTATAATTTGGAAAGACGTCACTTTCGCGGGAAACATCGGAGGAAGCATTTCGCGCCAACAGGTAAAGTTGTTCCATTTCTTTTCTACATTACAATTTATAAAAATTCTTTTACCGAAAATAATATACATTTTGGAAATAATTCCCGCATTAATTACATAAGTTAAATGTACAGTATGGGAATTGTATGCGTAACAATTGTAGTTTATGTAGCTATAACATTATGAAGGTGTTTTCCATTATTTTTAGTCTTGGAAAATGGGACTGGGCGATATATCGAATTTTTATCTTATATTCGATATCTTTTTACATACGATTTGGCTTGATAGTGTATCGTTATATCGATTTTATTTATTTATTGTAAATATAGACAATATGATTTGCCCTAAAATGGCAGGACGAACAGAGCAGGCAGTGCAAGAATAAATAACGCAATGATGGCGCAGGCAGTAATTAATGTACTGTGGTGCGCATGCGATGTTCAGCAGAGATGCATTTTTATGTTTTTCAGTTAGGAAACACTACTTAGAATAAATAAAAACCATAATTCATTCTGACTTTCTATCCTGACTTTTAAAAAGTATTTTAGAGATTTTTAAAAAATATTTAAATACATTGAATATCGATACAGTGACCTAAGATATTAAGATATTGTTTTTCAACTATATCGCCCAGCCCTGGAAATCGTGTCCTGTCATGCATAATATTTTGAGTTTAATTGAGTGACAATTAATGTCTCTATTAAATGATGGAATAATATTTGTTTTTTATGAATATAATTTAAGTGATAACTGTAATCTGCATTGTTACAGAATGAACTCCATTAGGAGAAAAAGATGTCATCCATTGCAGGATGCCAAGTTGCATATCAGATTAAAGTCTGATAAGGCTGTGATTGAAGAGCGTTGTATTAATGTTTCTAAAGGTATGTATCAGAAATGTAGGCTGCTTATCTAATATTCTTGGGATGTGTAATATCGTGTCTGTTTAGACTGCATTTATAGATGAACATCTTTATCATTGTTTTGCTTGTAGGAAGAGGAGTGTTCAGCACAGTGGTTATTTACAAAGGAGACTTTGTAGTAGAATATAAAGGTGAACTGTTTTCGGGGAGAAAGAGAGTTTTGAACGAAAGAAAGGATATAGTGAGGCTGAAAGTGTTTTTCTCTATGATTTCCAATGGAAAGGGAAGAACTGGTGGTAAGCAGGAACTTGACAATTTTAAGAGTGTTAAAATACTTTTGCTGATATTGGTTCAGGTGTAGTCACCATATTTTGTCTTCTACACAGCATAGACGCATCTCAAGAGGATAAGTCTTTAGGGAGGCTTGTCAATGATGAGCACAGAAATCCAAACTGTCGAATGAAAGTCGTAGATGTTGAAGGAAGTCCACATCTCTGTCTCTTTGCCGTTAGAGACATTTTGTCAGGAGAAGAGATTAATTATAATTACGGAGATTCAGATTGGCCTTGGAGAAGACAGGTATTTAGGTTTCCTCTTTTTTGCTTACTTAGGCCTTTTTACAACATTTCATAAATTACTGCTTGCAAGAGTTGCTCACAGTGTGATAATGGGTTGCATAGGAACAAATTAATTTTACTGTTTTATTCTAACTAGCTATAAATTAAAATACAGTATGCTGTTTTAAAGGTGGCTGTATCATCCCCACCAAAAGAGAAGTGTCCAGAATGACAACCAGATAGCCCAGTTGGAGTCTGGCTACATAGAGGTAAATATAAAATTTTGTTCAGTTGCTTATTTCGAATGTTCCTTAGTATTTGGTAAAACTACTTGATAGTGATTAACACAAACACTTAACACATTCTCTTGCATGAATAATATGAATAATATCAATTGTGGGCAATTAATCCCTGTTTGTCATCTCTGTGTAAAATTTGCTGCTTTATAATTCTTAATGGCTTAATTCCTGTGAAGAATATAGGCTATATGCAGTCCTGAATTGTTGTATTGAATTGTTAACACTGAAATTTTGTAGCTTTCTTTCTGATATACACTCACCTAAAGGATTATTAGGAACACCTGTTCAATTTCTCA